TTTTTTGCCTTTTTGTATCAGTTCTGATAATTGATTGTTCTTTCCTTGATATATATAAACTTCGAAAATCTTTAGCTTTTTCCACTTGAAGGAGTTTTCTCCGTAACTTTTGTCATTGTAAACACGAAAATATTGGAATGATATGTTACCAACTAGCTTGGGAGTTTTTTGTTTGTTTGTTTGTTTATCATTTTCATTGCTAGTCTCTAATAAACCTAAAACTCTTTGAATGTTATGCAGGCAAAACAATGAAGAGTGGGGATTTGCATACCGCGTTAGGGATAAAAGACGTTGAAGAGAACCTTGAGGTGTTGCGAATGACGTCTCTCAGGATCCTCAGTCTACCCTTACTTTGGGTTGAGTATGAAACTTATGAAGTATGTAGATAGCAATAATGGGTTAAAATTAACTCAAATCCTATAGAGTTACTAAGGCTGGTTTCCCTGTTTTGTTATTATTATTCGTAGAGACATCAACAAGTGTACTAATAAACTGAATACTTGGTTGAGAGTGGTATAAATTAGTTCATTTAAACACACATTTGGTTAATAAACCTCCCAGAATTTGGCTCAAATAAACAGCATGCCTAAATTAGCGATACATGTTTGACATTGATCGATCAGAGGACCGATTAAAGTGAAATTTTGTGGACCGATTAACGATCAATAGAACTGGGTTCTGGGTTCATGAATCTACAGCTCTAACAAGACATCTTTATTTAACTTACAAAATTCGTTTCTGCTATAAAACAGAAAAGTTACCTTTAAAGTACAGATAACTCTTTGGGACAAGTGTTACGAACTTTTCCATCAAACCTTCAAATATTTAATAGCAGTCTGAACATCTTTATCGCCTCTACCGCTGCAGTTGAGCACGACCTTAGTTCCATTTGCTAGAGTTGGACACAGCTTCTCTAAGTAGGCGAGAGCATGAGATGTTTCCAGAGCGGGGATGATACCCTCTAACCGAGATAACCTTTTGAAGGCTGCAAACATGAGGCATTACGTGAAACAACAAACAGGTTTGTAAGATGCATCATGAAAATGCAGCAAAAGTGAAAGACAGTTACAAACTAGAAAATAATATGTAAAAGTTTAGAACAAAGAATAAGTGAGAAATCATTTATCACCTTCCAAAGCCTCCTCATCTGTGATGCTATAATATTCTGCTCTACCGAGATCTTTCAAAAAGCTGTGTTCTGGCCCAACTCCTGGGTAATCCAATCTAATAAATCCATTGGGGGAACAAAACCAGTTAAGAGATACAATGATTTGATTTGACCAAATACACTTTATTTCAGTAGCGTCAAGTGTATGCATAGGATTTTGTAGTAGCACACAAAATGAGCACATTAGTAACAAGCAAGGTTCAAGTTATTACCCGGCACTGATAGAATGAGGCTCAACAATCTGCCCATCTTCGTCTTGCAGTAGATAACTCATAGCTCCATGCAGTACTCCTACCTCACCCTTTGTCAAAGTGGCGGCATGTTTACTACTATCTAGACCAAAACCTGCTGCTTCAACCCCAATCAACCTCACATCTTTGTCATCAACAAACTCATGAAAGAGTCCCATAGCATTTGAACCTCCACCAACACATGCAACAAGCACGTCTGGTTTCCCGCCCCACTTTTCCAATGATTGCTTCCTTGTTTCTTTACCAATCACTGCATGGAACTCCCTAACCATCATGGGGTAAGGGTGTGGTCCTGCAACAGATCCAAGTATGTAGTGAGTTGTTTCAACATTTGTAACCCAATCCCTTATAGCTTCTGAAGTAGCATCCTTGAGAGTAGCAGTTCCAGAGTGGACTGCTCTAACCTGCAATGTTAATTTTGGAGATGTAATTAAGTACAGTGATTCAAATCCAATAGAAAGATCTCTTACAAAGTATAACATAAAATTATGTAACTTATCCCAAGAATAAGAGGGGAAAAAGAAGAAGCTTAACCATTTAAAGGGACATATATAATAGAAGAAAGGCGATGGTTCAGCAAACCACGGTCCTCAAGCCCTAAATAGAATTCTAAATGGTCTTCAGATCAAAATAGAGGCAAGGTAATATTTTCAAAAAAAAAAAAAAGAATATAGAGGCAGTGTAGGTAATGCAAAACAAGAAAATTTCCCGGCAACTTCTCACTTTGCAAATATTTGACTGATTCATGGATTTTAATAAGATTGCCCCTCCCCGTCTGTATACATCTTATCCTACTCCCTAAGTTCATGGATATCATTATTCATATCACATTCTGTTCTCCCCATTAACCAATATTTTGCACTCAACCTTTTGTTCCTGTACCTATGGACCACACTTACTAATCATTCCTGCAATTGAGAATTTATGAATATGCGAAAAACACAGTACATTTACAGCGAAATTCATCTGTGGAACGTAGGGAAGAAGAAACCACAGGATTTTACTGAACAAGTTGATGTTATTGCAGATAACCCAGTCAATTATTAGAAGGTGCAGAAATCTTAGTGAAACCATAAAGTTAATCAGTGGATATTTAATTAATTTTCAATCTCTCCTCAAGTAAGCTATGATCAGAGTGGTCAATTTATACTGTATCATACAGACCTCAGCTCCAAGCAGTCGCATTCTGAAGACATTCAATGCTTGCCTCTCCATATCTTGAGCACCCATATAAATAACACAGTCCAAACCAAACCGAGCACAAACAGTTGCAGTGGCAACACCATGCTGACCAGCCCCTGTCTCGGCAATAATGCGTTTCTTTCCCAAGCGCTTGGCAAGCAAAGCTTGCGCAACAGCATTATTGATTTTGTGGGCACCCGTGTGGTTTAAATCTTCTCTCTTCAGGTAGATCATTGGCCCTTCACCATCTGGACGTTTATAATGCTCAGTAAGTCGCTCAGCAAAATAAAGAGGGCTCTCTCTGCCAACATAATCTCTTAATATCCCATCTAGTTCCTTCTGCAGTCAGCATAAATGGTGTACAAAAGAGTTAAAAGTTTTATAGCGGTCAACAATTCTTCACAATGCCATACAATTGAAATTAATCAATCCATCAGTGATGCCTCAATTCCATAACAGTTTTGCAATCCAGCTTCTGAATCATCTATATCCCTTTCTATCTATTCAAGTCCATTTCATTCAAAAGACAACATAATTTCTCGTATTATTAAGATTAGGAGTTTGTTAAGAGAATTTATTTTTGATAAGATAACATAATTTTATTGATGTTGCGGACAGCAATATTTACACGTGATATACCAAAAATCAGAGACCAAGCAGGGTATTACGAGCATAAAGCTCATAAGTCATAACTACAGCTCTTTATATTGGAAAAAAAACTTGAATTGAGCTAAATTTCCAACAAAATTATAGCTCCTGCAGTTTCCAAAGAAATTATGCTCAAAGAAGATACTATCATTTACTTAAAACACGCACGCGCACACAGAGAATTTGCAGTTTAAGCTAACCTACTCAGTTATTTCAGCTTGTTAACAAACACAGACTACGAATATCATAAGATACTAGTCAACTAGTTTCATCATTTCATGATTGAATAACAAAAGAAGTTTTTTTTTTTATTAATTTCACTCTACATATTTCGAAGGCTAAAAGTAAAGCCTGCAGTAATGTCCGATCAATCAGATCCGCTCTTATTACAGAATGCTGAATGCACGTCAAAAAACACCAATATCAACTAATCTCAAATCCTAAAGTTAGCAAAAATGGATTCTGGATTTGAAGTTTACGAGTTTCGATAACAATTTTAAGTTGATATACAATAATAAATGCTTTCACAATGAAATATCAAAGAAATCTTCTTAATATACGTGCTAGTTCCTCCAATGTAGTTTAGCTAAACTATATATATATATATATATCCTTCACAATTCATATATCCATTTTATTCAAATAATTGAAATGAAACAAAATCACCAATCGGAGAATGCAGTAAATCAAACACCTGAAAGTCCTGGTCTGTAGCGAGCGAATTGAAGGCGGTTTCCAGCTCATCAAGAGCGTGCATTAGAGTTTCCGGTACATACTTACCGCCGAACTTTCCAAACCGACCAAACGAATCGGGTCGTTGAACGGCGGTGGCATCCATTGATTTTCCGGTGAGGACACAAGCTATGGCAGGTGGTTTAGTGGGTAATGACGTAATTTTGATGAATTTGAAGGGTATTTGCGATTGAGATAAGGAGGAGAAACGGTGAGGCTTCGGTAGCGGTGGAGCTATTTTGCTCGGTGAGGAGAAGGCCATGTTTGGATGATTTGTGAAAATTAAGCAAATCTAGAATTTTTGTTTTTTTAATGACAGCTCTATAAAAGGTCAGTGGGACCCAACAAAAATGACGTGGCTGATTCTGCGGGATGGACGTTCGATTATTCGATTTGATTCTTTTATATAAACATAAAAAAAATGTGAGAAAGCATAAATATACTTTCGAACAATCGTTAAACGGTATGCAGGTATCTTCTATTATACTTTTGGAACATTGGTGTTCGTCCAAAATCTAGAGTATATATATCTTTTATACTAACAGACATACACGTGTCATAATCTTATCCATTCACCGATATTTATTAAATATTGAATCGACGGATAAAATTGCACCCCGTGTCCCTATTTAGTCTTCCGTAAGAGTAAATGACATGTTTACTTTAGTTTTCAGATGAAAAGGGCACTAATGTCTCAAAAGTATGACAAAGGATATCTACATATTATTTACGATAATTCAAAGGTATATTTGTCATTTTCCCTAAAAATTTATTTCGAGAAAAAAATCAAATAGTTATAATGAATCGATGTTATAAAGTGATCCGATTGTCTTTTTTTTTTTCCCTTTGTTAAATATGTTATATATTTGAATGAGGATATCTAACTTAACTTAAATTAGAATAAAGTTTATTCAACAATCATCAAATTTTTTAATCTTATATCGAAGGCAAGATAATCTCGATAACCTGATTTTGAACCAAACGACCCGGAAAAGAATTGTTTGTTCACCATTCTGAAATCTCACTAAACTTTTCTTCATATATTCTACGAAATACAAGAGCCCTTTGACATGGAAAGGTAAAACATCGAGACTTTATCATCAACCTTGATTCCGCTACGTTTCAAATAACAAAGGTGAAAAGGAAATGCAAATATTACATGTTAATGAATTCACTACTCCCCCTTGTATATACAACATGATGTAAGAAGAACTAGAAGTCAATAATTGGTTCACCAATAGTAAGATTCCTCTTGACAGACCAAGGCAAGTTAAAGAGCTTTGCCATTATGAACTTAAAGATCTTATTCACATTGATGTTATGTGTTGAACTTGAGAAAAAAAGTGTTGCTTTCATTGCCTTTGCATATGTCCTTGCCTGCAATACACCAATGTGCCACATGCTTATTATACGAGATGACGGAATGCAATGGAATGAGTCAGTACTCAGTATGTTCAGAACAATTGTTGTCTTGTTATACGTATACATAGTTCGAGCTGAAATGATGATTCTAATATCGTTATATCTTACCTACTGCTTTTGGTTTGTTGGGGGGTGGGTGGACTCTGTGGTAGGGGACTGGAAGATGACAATAACTAACCCAAAAGACTAGTTCCTTTCATCTTCTTTAGTATTTATAACCAAATTATATTTTTCACATTCTTTTGAAAACGAAGTTTGAAACTAAAGCAGGAAAATTCGGTTGATAATGCAAATACCATCCCAATATATGTAGAAATAAACATTTGAGGAACTTGTTAGGATCACATCGCTTTCCTACTTGCACAAAGTAAACGTGTACAAACATGACGAAAAATGGTCTTTAATGATATGACTAGGAATTTACCACGACTGAGATGATAACATATATTAATTGATCACGATTAGTGATAAGAGGTTCTTTGAACCAAGGTTAAAGTTTGCATACACTCTACCCTCCCGAACCCCACTTAGTGGGACTGCACTGTGTATGTTAGTTGTTGTTGATTAGTGATAAGAGGTTCTTTGAACCAAGGTTAAAGTTTGCATACACTCTACCCTCCCGAACCCCACTTAGTGGGACTGCACTATGTATGTTAGTTGTTGTTGATTAGTGATAAAAGGCTTAAAATGCCATTTAGGAGAAGGAATGAAGGAACCATTTAAGTAAATTACGTTGATCAGAATTGTACCTGTGTCACCACAGACCATTGAATGTCTGGCGGAAGCTGAACAAAATCATCAAATTTGGTCCCAATTAGTATTGGAATAGCAGTCTGCAATTGTCAAGGATCAGACTTCATTAGCTTCGCTAACAATGTTTTAAATTCTATAGATCATATATTATAAATGTTAATCCATCCATCATTATCAAGAACAGTATTCAACTTCATAATCTTTACCAAAATACATATTTAATCAGTTTTCATTGAAAAAGAACATCAGAACTAGTGGTGATGATCATCATGTTTGTTATTCAATTGATTTCTTTTAATAGCCGTGGTGTACGGACCAACTTGGGGACACCTCAACTAAATTCATAGGTACATACTACCTCCCTCCGGTACAACTACAAGGTAACTCTGTTTGCCGAAGTTCGGACACAGAGAGGAAATCACCTAGTGTTTGAACCCGAGACCTCATGGTTCTCAACCTCTTCATTGACCTCTAGACCGCACCTTTGAACATCGTTGTTCAATTCATTCTTCTTGAAAGTTGAAGCTAATCAAGTTTTGCTAATAACAACGTATTCTGATCATTAAGCTTCAATCATTAAAATCTAAATGAACCAACAGATAAAGTTATCATCTTCAAGAACAAAAGTAACTAAAGTACTACTTTACTTATTGCCATATCTACTTTTTATTCAAAAGAGTGAAAGCAGTTCCAACTACTGTCATTAATCAATTTATTTCAGTATATCAATAAAGTCTCAACCACTATAGTTATTTTGTTGTTTGTACTACTTTTTCTTTTATTTGGTGAAATGAATTGCTAAGTCACATCCAACTTTTTTCTTTGTTAGTAATAAGTAAAGATGATTCTTGGTTTTAAAGTTTACTCCTTTTTTCAAGAAAACAACATCAAGGTGAAAGAGAAGTTGAAGTTTCTCACCTGATTCCATTTTCTTGCTTCAGTATACCAACTTATCACACTGCAATTACAAAAAAAAACAAAAACGAAAGCTTTTAATAACGGAGTTCAACTTTTATGCACATAAGAAATACGAATAGATCTTCTTTTCTTGACAAGTTACATACTTGTTCAATGTACTCCGGCTAGTGAGATCGAACATAAAGAGAATGGCAACAGAATCTTTACAAGCTATTGGAATCTGATCAAATGAGCTATGATCACCTATAAACCAAAAGTTCAAAAATTCAAGAACCGAATTAGTCGTTGCATTAATCAAGCTATAGTAACTACCTTAAAAGTGACGAATTTGGCCTAAACAAGTAAACATAATTAGCTTTCCAGATTTAGGAAGAAAATTAATGAACTTACCTCCTACATCCCATATTCTAAATGCAATTCGTGCACCTCGTACAACTAATGTTTTATCCATTAAGTTCAATCCCTTCGTCTGCAAGCACCTCTTTTCTTGTTCATCACCTACATACTTAATCTGGAAAACAAAAATTTAAAAAGTTACCAACGGTGTTGAAAAAAAACTGTTTCTTTGTTTAAGCGTAAGAAGTTTAACATTCTAACTCGACAATCAAGGGTGTGAACTCGTGATCAATAGTGGAAAATGGCCAATCGGCGTGTTTGGTCTGGTGAAAAGTACTTTCAATTTTCCCATGTTCGGTTAAACAAATTACTTAAAAATGAGGAAAATAATTTCTTGTGTGTTCCCCCACACCCCACCCCATCCCACCCCTTGATCATCCAAACCCCGCCACCTCTCAACCCCACCCCTAGATCATCCAAATCCCAGGCGCCACCTCCCAACCCCACCCTAGATCATCCAAACCCCAGATGCCACCTCCCAACCCCACCCCTAGATCATCCAAATCCCGGGTGCCACCTCCCAACCTCACCCCTAGATCATCCAAACCCCGCCACCTCCCAACCCTACCCCCTGATCATCAAAATTCCTGCCATCCCCACTCCCCACCACATTTCCACCCTGTATATTTTGCTAAATAACATATAGTTGCTCTAGGGATAATATTTTTTTTCTTACTTGCTAAACACTAGAAAATAAATAAAAGATACACTCGTTTTCCAAGAATATATTGTTTCATAGAAAGCATTTTCCTTCATACTAAACACATTAGAACACAAATTTCACTAGAAAAAAGAAAGTCCTCCAAATCTTAGTAAACCATTTTGTTGTTTGAATTTTTCAAAAATATTATCGAGATCCTTAAAAAAAACATGCTTTTTGGAGGATCCAATATAGGTATGTCAATATTTTTCGAAGGCCGGACCAACCTAGGCTCATCATCTACTCTATATGTTCGTAAATTGGCCCACACACCGGGGCGGAGCTGGAGCTTAGCCCACAAGGGATTTTTTCTATAATTCAGAATTCGTAAATTCAAAATCTTAATTCCGTAAACGTAACAAAGCAACATATTAAGCTAAACAGAGAAAATTATGTTAAACTTACCACAAAACTTGTTTTACCAATCTGACAATCACCAAAAATACTGATCTTTAAAGTAACTAAATCTGAATCACTATCATACCCACTACAAGTTGCAGTTAAAGGATCATCTTCCCCACCACCTACCCCATACCCTTCAACTTCCTCCATAGCCACCGGAGACGATGAACTTCTTCGAGACAAACGCCGGTACCTCACCGGTTTCCGTCCAGTTGAACAAACAATAATCCTTTCCCAAATAAAACGAAAAAACTCCCTAAAGATTGAAACTTTATCAAATATCTTCCACCTAATCTTGACTTGAACTATTTTCCGGCAAAGATTAGTCATTTTTTCCGGTGAAAAATCATGGGTTTTCTGAGCCATGAGGAAAATACATAAAAACTGATTCTGGGTTCCACATTTTGACAGTCTTTTTGTAGTTGGAATTATCTGTTTGGAACAATTTGTGACTTTGTGAAGACGACGACAAAGTGCTGACCGGTATATGTGTCTTTTTAGGAATGTGAAAAAGAGACGGTCCAATTTGCCGGCCGGCGTCCTGTTTTTGATGTAAACGTGGGTATATAGGTCAATTGTTAGGCACTTGCTACAATATATAGAGGTTATATGTAGGGGTAAAATGGTCATTTTCGTTAAGGGTATTTTTGGAAATGTAAATTTAGAAATTGGATTGGATGGGAGTGAAAAGAATAAAAAATTGTTGAGTTCGATTCGAGGTTTGAGTATGAAAAATATCATATTAGCGGTTTCTTTTTCCTGTCTCTTTAGTATGAGTTCATATTTAATTGGACAAAAAAAGAATTCAGAACAATCGAGTCGACTCGAGATTTGAGTATGAAAATATCATATTGATGGATTTCTTTTTTTCTTATAATTGGATAGATAAGAAGAAAAGTGAAACGAGAAACAGAGTGGGAGAAAATAAGTATCTGATAAGGTTAAAAAAATTTCTTTTAGGATAGTTCTATTAATATCGATGTAATTTGTTTATGTATTATTTTTCGATAAATTTATATATTATATTATTTAGATAAAGAGGTAAGTTATTTATAATAATATTAATATGATGTTTGGATTATAGTCTTTTTATATATATGAGAATTTATGTATGACTTTATGCCAAATATAAAATATTAACTTATAGCCATATAATTGATACTTATTCAACTAATACATCTATCATTCAACTAGCTCTAGCTGCCAAATAACCCCTTTAAAACATAATAAAAAACATTTAGAATGTTTTATCTTTCGTTCTAATTTTATCGAATGTCCTGAAGGGACAAATGTCTTATATTTCGAGTTTTAAGAATAATGAGCTTTTTTACTAAAATTATTTAATTTATAAAATATTCTTTGTTAAAAATTGATACCTAATTTATTCAGATTTTTCAATCATTTCATTCATCGTTAGATCAAAACTTTTATCGAGGCTTATAAAATTATTTCTATCCTAGATGAAATCATTCATTAGTGAACTCCCATTGGATTTTTGGAAATGTAGATTATAAATTGGATTAGATGGGGTGGAAAGAAGAATATAGAATGGTTGAGTTGGATTCAAAGTTTGATTATAAAACATTATCATATTAACAAGCACTTTTAATATAAATTCAGACTAATAAAACAGAAAAAGAATTTAAATTATCGAATCATTCAAAATTCAAATATGAAAAAGATTATATTAGCAAATATTTTATTTATAATTAGACAAATAAGGAAGAAAAGTAAAATTAGAAATAGAGAGGGAGAAAACATGTATCTAGTAAGGTAGATTAGGAATTTTTACATAATTTGACTTCTTAATTCTCAAGGTTCGAAGATAGCAAAATAATTTTTATTTATATATTAATTTTTTATAAATTAATATAGTATATATAATAAAATTTAATTTAAAAATAATTTTTTTATATATAATATTTAAGTTTATAATTTAAATTTTAACCTATTTAATTTTTTAAATCATTTTATTCACCGCTAAATCATGTCTTTCATGGAAGCTACCAAATTATTTTCTATCGTAAGATGAAAACATAAAATTATTTAACTCAAGAGAATAAATTAATGAGAAAGAGTCAAGATTTGATTGGTGGATACAGATCATAGGATATTTTAAAATTTAACATGCTGATAAAAGAATAAATAAAAAGCTGCAAAAATATCATAAGAATGACTCATACTTTTGTGCTTTTCCACAAAAGAATTTTATTTAGAATTAATAAAGTTAATTTGTGCTCTACTTTTTCCCCAGCTAATCAGGTCCATAACTTTTTTTAAGTACTTTCACTGGTGTGAATCTTGTTTTATACTTTGACAACAAATTTAAGTTTTGGTTATTCACAAATTGAGCATATTATACTTTTTACATTTCAATTTATTCCTATTACTTTTTCTTAAAAAAAAATAAATAAGTATCCTCTTGATCTATGCTTGAAATTTCACATACACACTTATACTATACTAAGGTCCTATTAATAATTTTCTACCCCTATTCAGCCTATGTGATACTAGTTTGAAAAAAAATGTCAACACATATTGGGCCCACAAGATAGTATCACGTAAGACGAAAAGGGATAGAAAATTATTTATAAAATAATTTCAGGATAATAGGACTTTCGTGTAGTATAAGTGTGTCTCTGAGATTTCGGGCATAGGTTAAGGGGGTACTTGTGCATTATTCTTCTTTTTTAGTTTTTTTCGATAATATATTAATTTCAGTATCTCATATAACATGTTTCTGATTATTCATGTGCACTACAAAAATAGTTTGAATTACATGGGAATTTTTCAAAAAAATTATTATGAAAATTCGCAGGAAATTTTTTATGGAAATTTTAATACTAATTCCTAGAAAAATTCCCATGTAATTCACGCTTTTCTTATATTGGTATTTGATTGGAACTTCTTTAAAACTTGTTCTTTAATTTAAAATTTTCTTCAATCTATATTATTGTTGTTAGCAAATCATCTACTCATATATATTTATTTAAACTTTTTTTTTCTATCTTGTGTTTGATGTCAATGTTGGAGCTTAACTAAGTTTGAATTTACGTCGAAAAGTTTTATGTTGAGGATAAAGTGTTTTCTAACAAAGACGACTTCATACTCCAAAAAACTTAAAGTCTAAACTTCTGATCAAAGATGAAGGAGTACACAAGACAAATGGACTCGTGTCCTAATTATTTGATAAATTGAAGTAATTACTTGTCTTTCAAACTTTTAACTATGATTTAAAATCAATACCTATATTTGAGTGTTATAGATTAAGGGCAAGAACGGAGCGAATATTAGATATGAAAAGTGAAATTCTGAATTCATAAACTTAATTCTGCCCTTGTCTTTTTTCTAACGACGAAAATAATCAAAATGTAGTTATAGAAAAAAAAATTAATCCTTTTCAAAAAAAAATTGTAATGAACTTTCCTATTTTCTCTTAAAATTTAGAATTATTGTATTGTAATTATAAAATTCTAGAAGGCAACACTAATTAGCTGATTAAACAGACAAATGTAGAAGTCAAATGTCTTTATCAACTTTGTAATGAATATAAAACAAGGCACAAATTAATTACGTGAGATTCCTCAATTAATCATTAAATAAAAATATATAAAAAACTAAAATATAAAATTGACTTTAGTTCACAAGTATTCTAATTATTTAAAGAAAAATATTTCATGCATATATTATTTTATAATATAATGAATAAAATTTAGGTAGAAGGCGTGACCATGAAGAATCCAACATGCCACATATCACTAATTATGTGGATAAAATTAAAACTGAAAACGACCTTCTAGCTAATTAAATTATTAATTATTTATTTTATTTACCTAAAATGAAAAAATTAATGATTTGTTAAGATTTTTTTTTTTATTTTTTGGTCATGTTTGCTACTTTCATTAATTCATTTAGGGTAATAGGGTAGGCATATTCAAACTCCCAAAATGGACTTATAAATTAAATTACCTAACTTTAGATATTATAATAAAGTCATTGTGTTAGTTGCAATGTTTGAAACTTTGAAGAATAAAAAGTTAAAAGCATAGTGGTACCAAACCTAGAAGAATGATTTATCAACAATAAATCGATGTATTATTAGAAAGATTATTTTTGTAGCTCGATAATTAATATTGATAATCTGAAAATAATAAAATACTCGATAGAATAGTTATTGTGTGTTCAAAAATTCAAATCAAATATGAATGGTTACGTGTTATTTTAAAAAAAATTTATCTCAGTGCTTCTTAAAAATTCTCAAATATATGTCTAAAATGTGTAAGAACAAATTCTTGTATTCAAACAAAATCGTTTGGTGTTTTCTTTATCTTGGTAGATATTTTGGTAATGTATATCTAATAACACAATTTCATTGCTCCTAATATATAATAATGGTTTAAATTAGGTTATATATATATATATTATATTTTATTTTTCTTGTAGTCTTTCAATCAAAGTCAAATTATTAGGCAACATTAGTTGATAAATGAAATTAATGTAGAACAAACACGTGTATACAAAACAAACAAAAAAATAAAATTTAGGTCATATACACAATCTCATCAATGGGGCTAGCCCCAATAGATATGTTTTGTAAATTTGATTGATACATCTACTTCTACTACAAATATATAAGCCGTGATAATTACACATCTCGTGATTAATATGTTTGTATTAATTGTATGATTTTATATGATATTTAATAATTTTTATTAATAAAAATAGGATTGACGCGTCAAGATTGAGGGCTTAAAGTCAAACGATAAAGAGGGGCCTTAATATTTTTTTAATTTTTTTTCAAAATAGTATTAATAATGTATGATATATATATTTATTTAAAATCTATTTTTTTGTCTTTTTAAATATGAAAGTCATTAATTATTATTTTCTAATGAATTTGTTTTAGTTATTCTTTTTCAATTGATGTATAGCTAATTCATTTGGTCTTATATTGTTGATTAACTCTTTATATTTTACAAGTGCCATATAAATTGAGATAATAAAAGTAACATATAACATTTGAAACTACGTTGTGAATATCAAAGCCACAACTTATAGTATTTAAAAACATATTAAAAATTGATCAACCTCAAAATTTTATAAGTGTCATGTATAAATTGGGAATATGAAATAACAAAGGGAGTGTTTGGTATGAAAAAAAAACATTATGTTAAGAAAATTTATATATTTTCTAGTAAAATAATATGAATTTCCCAAGATATAATATTTTATGATATTATACGGGAAAAAATTTTTGGCTAGAAAATTTGGGCAAAATAATAAAATAATATATTTCACACTACGTTATTTTATCTTTTTAAACATTCAACCTTTTTAACTTTACTATCTTTTAATAATAAATTGAAAAAAAATTCAGTTTAATTTAAAAATAAAAAAGATATTATAAATTTTTAAAATTTATGACGATTTAGCATTACCCGATATTAGATATTGAAAAACATGACGTAATATTTATGTTGGACCGTACATCTTTACAAATTTCAAAATTGTATGAATAAATAAAGTTTACGCGTTTTTATTCTTTAGTTAAGAATTTTTGCTACATTTCCCTCTAAATTGCATTAGTTGAATTTAAAAAGTAGCATATATTGTACATTATTATACAAAAATTTATTTTATTGCATATTTCACCATTTTATTAATTTATTCTCACATAAATACACATACATTTAATAACTTTATTATGCCAAATTTAATAACCAATGTAGATAGAGAGATTGTTTTGTTCTTATTACCATTTTTCTTATAATTTTGCATCTAATATATATATATATATATATATATTATGCAGAGGATCCATCGGAAACAATTTCTATTTCAAAAAGATTGGGACAAGGATTGTATATATTCTACCCTGCTCAAATCATATTTGTTAGATTACAATTGATATGTTATTAATTGTTGTTATTATTTAGTTTATATACTTCTTAATATATACAATTACAAAGATCGTTTTGTTTCTTGCTATTTTGTTATTTCTTTTCTTGTAATCCTATGTTGGATGATTCCCTTTTGAGTCGAGAATCCTTCAGAAACAACTTCTCTACTTCATTAAGGTAGAAATAATATTTGTATACATCTTGCATCTACGGGGTATAATCTTGACCAAAAAATAGAAATAAGTCAAAAGAATTTATATGTAATATTAGCAGGATAGGGTAAAGTGTTTGCGTCGAGCTATGTATCGTCGTTTATATTGTTATGACAGATAAAAGTAGAAACTTTTTTTTTTCCGCGTATTGCGGTCCTACATTTTGTTATGACGTATAAGTACTAACATAAGTATATATCATTCCTATGGATATAAAAATGATCTAGTAATTAACTAAATAATTAAAGGTCTTATAATCACATTATTATGAATTTCAACCAGCAAAAAAACAACAGATGTAAATATTCTATGCTTTGCTTGCAAAAGGTATTTCTATTTACTATGGTTAAATAAAATAAAGGGAAAAATGTCTGATATACCTTTCAACTTTGTCATTTGGAGCTGATATACCTCTCGTTATAAAAGTGGCTCATATATGCCCTTACCGTTATATAAACGGCTCACATATACCCCTGCCGTTACAAAATGACTCACATATATCCTCCATTTAACGGAAGTTAAAAAATTAGTTTTAAATTTATATTTATTACTTCTAATTTTTTTTTTTAAAAATGACTTAGGGGTATATATGATTCTTCTATCAAAGTTCAAGGTATATTTTAATTTTTTTTCATACATAAATTATTTTTTGACTTCTTTTATTATAATTTTTGAATTTGTTATTCTTATTTTGTTTTTTTCTTTCATTCCTTAGTTTAAAGAATAAAAAATTAAACTATTTTTTTTTTGTGTATTGTAATTTAATTTCGTATTCAAAGAAAAAATTTGATCATCTACAATAAATTTTATAAGAATATTAGTGAAACATAAATAAATTTGATTATCAAAATAATTATTATAAATTAGTCATTGAAACAAAAAAAGGTAAAAAAAATATGTTTGACGAGGATTAAATTTACTCATATGGGATTATATTTTTTAGAAAAAAGTAATAAAAATTTAGATTAAAATTATTTTTTTTATTTCCGTTAGAGGAAAAGGGTATATGTGAGCCATTTGTTTAAAGGTATATATGAGTCACTTTCATAACAAGGGGTATATCAGCTCTAAATGACAAAATTGAAGGGTATATCAGACCCTTTTCCCTAAAATAAAAAACATCATAATGTATTGGTCCCCGTTGGGTTTGTTAAGGTAGTTATACAATTAGTTAATTAATTTAATTTCTGAATTATAAACTGCCTTTAGGTGAAATAGCTTTTTCACTTTTATAAATTATTATATGATAAATTAATCAAAATAATAACTACTACACTCACTTGTTGCGTTCTTGTTTGATGAGATATTGATTGATCAATTTTTTAAAGTTGGTGTTAGCTAAAATTAAAAGCAAAAAAATGGAATAAGAGATAAATTAAACAACGTATGAACCAAATATGGATATTATTATTTTTTTAATTTTTTTTAATGGTTGGTGAAGAATATAACAATATCTATATTAATGAGGTTTGCATATTGAATATTGATAAATCACCTTTCTATGCATAATTTAGGCGGAGCTAGAATTAAGCCAATACGAGTTCAATTAAATTTAATAAATTCAATTCAAATTTATTGTCTCTTTGTGCGTAATTATGGCGAAGCTAAAATTAAGATCAAATACGAGTTTGATATATATAATTTAATAGTTTTGATCCAAATTCATTACTTTCGATGTGTAATTGCTAAAAGGTCAGACATGAATTTGATCATATTCAATAACTTTTAATATTTATATTAATAAATTCACATAAATATATATAAAAATTAAACAGAAGACTATGAGTCATGACATAGATGACTTTTTAAATGTCTTATTTTAGTTTGGTTTTGAGATAAAGATGCGACAACCATAGAGTATCTTTCTCATTTTAACTAACAACTTCTAATAATAATAATAATAATAATAAATAAAAGATAATTACACGAAATTAATACATATACATCATATATTTAAATTTATAGTTCATTTTACTTTACTAAATCATAATAAATGAATATTACATTGACTTGATATAAAATCTAATGCGAAATAAAAGCTTATAATATACAAGCATATTTTTCATTTATAAAAATAAAATAAAATTGAGCCACCCCATCAAGCCATATTTTGAAGCTTTATAAGTTTACCTTAACATAGATTAATCTTTAATTTTACTTACAAAATGCATTGATTTTACTAATATTTACCATTTAATAACTAAACTTTTAATTGTGAGGATATATACCATCTAATCGTGATATTTTTCATAGCAATCTTTATTTATATGTATAAAAATAATTTTCATAACTTATGATTAGGGGATAGTGAAAGTAACATATATTATTTGAAAATTATGTTATGAATATTATAAATCACAGCTTATAAAATTTAAAAACATATCAAAAATTTATGAGACTTTCGAAATTTTACAAATATCACATGTAAATTGGAATAGGAAATAACAAAAAATGTGTTTGGTATGAAACCGAAAAAACACGGGGAGTGCATATTGGTAAAGCACCTTTCTAGGCATAATTTAGGCGGAGCTTAGATTACAAATTAAGTTCGATCAAATTTAATAATTTGATTCGAATTCATCACCCTTCCCATGCATTATATCATGACGAAGCTAAAATTAAAGCCAAATACGAGTTCAATCAAATTTAATAGTTTTAATTCAGATTCATCATCTTACCATGCGTAATTGCTAGAAGGCAGATATGAGTTTAATCAAATTCAATAACTTTCAGTATTTACATTAATAAATTCATTAAACGTATATAAATATTAAAATTAAGAACCCAAATTATTAATACTTGATATTACTATTTTAAAATTTGAAATTTAAAAAATTCAAATTTCGATTCTATCTATTGTGTTCAATTATATGCAACACTTAAGAAACACAACTCATAGGTGGCTTTTTACATGTCTTATTTTAGTTTGGTTTTGAGATAAAGATGTGACAACCATTTATTATCTTTTCATTTTAACTAACAACTACTAATAATATAAATAATAATAAATAAAAGCTCATAATATACATGTATATTTTTCACCACTTTGATTGTAAAACACTCTATATCAAAAGTAATTTTATTCCCTTGCATTTAAATTTGAAATTACTTCGATCTTTTATCCTCCTAAATCCTAATTATTTAAATATCTTATACACTCAGTAAAGGTTAATAAAAATAAATAAATTTGGAGCCACCCCATCAAGCCTTATGTTAAAGTTCGATGAATTTATCTCAACGTAGATTAATCTTTGATTTTATCTATAAAATAGATTGAATTTTTTAATTTTTATCTTTTAATAATTAAATTTACGCCTTTTCCACCGAAGCATACAGTCTTTAGAAATTGAAGTTAAATAAATTATAACTTGAAAAATGTCATAATACGAAAAACATATACTTATATTATGAAAAAAAGTTTTTTTTTTTTTTTTTTTTTTTAACGAGGAACATAAGTTAAAGACCGACACAAAGTAAAGGCCATATATCCAATAATCAATGACCCTTTAAAATGGTTATAAACGAAACTATGGATCGGCCCAATAAATATGATTTTATGCTTTGGCCCATTTAGCCCATCATATCCATCAAATTTCCTTAGCCCATTTGTCAGACGAATTCAACCCGGAAACCAATTGCTCCGCCGCTCGGAGCACACTAGTCGCCGATCGCCGCCCGTCGCCCGCCGCCGCCGCCGCAAGTATTTATACTGTCTGCTTAGTTTCTGAATTTATGAAGTCTTATTGTAGTTTTTCTTTGTTACAGCTGAAATTATGGGCTCAGAGATGGAGATAGTCGAGCAAAGGCTAAACACTTTTGTAAGTCAGCTGCAGACAGAGTTTGCCATTCTCGATCGTCTCGTTTACAAAAATAAAAACCAGCATAGAAGATGCTCATATTTTCAGTACCTCTTAAAGGTTGTATTTTTAACTATATTTTTTCATATATGTATGTGTAATGAGCTTATTCTAGTAGTTTCTTGTCCTATGATTTCTGTTATTATTCGTTGTTTCAGGTGCTTAGGTTACACATTATTTAGCTACTGCTATTGTTCCTTGTCTTTACTTTTGTTTGGTATGTGTTATTTGAACCAAGGGTATTTTAGAAACAACCTCTTTGCTTTGTGTTCTTTGAGTATGTTTCTGCCCTAAACTAAGAAAGGGTATAATGCTCGTTTTGATAAGAGTATTGCATACTATCTGCTGGAATGTTTTGGACGTCTTTCTTATGCAACTATGGGAATTTCTTCTAGTGCGCTACTATCTTTTACTACAGCTCATGGCTGTCCTTGAACTGGCCAAAGAGCTTTCTATTTGAATGGAATTCCACAATTTCATAAGATTCGATCTAGAATGATTATACTTTGGTTAATTGGTTAGGTGTCGATAGCAGCAGAACCTTTGTTTTGGTCTATACTATGCATAGGGGTACCTATGGCATTACTGGGTATGTTGTTGTTGTTGTTGTTGTAATGGGCTTTGCTTTGTTTTAAACACAAAGAACTGTCATAGAAGATGTTCCTATTTCCAATACCCCTCAAAGGTTGTTACCAAGGTTATTTCACATATGTATTATTTGCATTGGGTTTTGGGGGGGGGGGGGGGGAATTGATGGGGTTTGCTCTATGTCCTAAGTGCAAATGCTTAGTTTATATGTTCGTTTTGATGATATTAGGTGCGAAGAGATGTGAGGCTCCTCCAAACAACTAACTTGGAGGAGGTTTTGAGTGACTCCTTTCAAGTTCTTAACGGAAAAAGACCCAAGCAAAAAGTGCAGCTTCTGGAAAGGTACTCTTGACCCCTTTAAAGCACCTATATTTTGTTTTGAGATTTTGATTATTATAGTATTTCTAGTGATGATATGGCAAGAATGGAATTTGATTACGTCATAAATGTACCCACTTTTTCATATCTACCAATGAGTAAATTTTGATTGGAGAGTGAGTCCTTATCATACTCTTGACAGTTTTTTGTTCCTATATTGATAACTACCACTTTCTGCCATTGAAACAATTGAACTGACACACAGGGAAGCTTAAAACTTAAATTGTCTTCCTTTTTTATATGATTTTCATCAATAATCATCCATCTCTTTGTATGAAACTGTTTGCTGATTATGATTGTTGAATGCTGTTTGATTGCTAAAAATTGGGTGTTTATGTGAGCTATAACAACATTTTTGCAAGTTCCATCCATCTTATCATTAACCGACAGATTGGATGTTAATACTCTAACCAGTAAGAAGGGAGACTAGTTGTATTGATCCCAGTCCACTGTCATGGAAATAGAATTGCCATTATTTATGTCTTGCTCTTCATATACGAACTCCCACTGCCGCTGTTCTAACCTATGATGATTTTATATTAAATTGAACTTTCACCCTCATTTTTCATTGGCCTCAGCCTAAAGAGGAGAAGATCTAATGGTGGCAAATATAACTTTCTGGAGCGGCTTTTAGGGGTTGCGCATCTGTTGTCACAGGTATCATTGTTTCTTTCATTATTACTTCTTGTTGTTCTGCACCTAAAACCGCTCATCCATGTCTCTAAGTAACTCATGTTAGCGAAGCTCACTTGCTATCATTTACTGGCAATATTCCCCTGTTTTCATGAATAAAAAGGGAAGCTTGGTGCACAAAACACTCTGTGTTCACATAAAGTCTTGGTAAGGGCCACATCCCGAAGGGGTGTAACATATGCTAATGCAAGCCTTAGTGGTCAATTCCACGCACGAACCTATGACCTATAGGCACACAGAGACACCTTATCATTGCTCCAAGATTCCATGTATACCAGTAGCACATGTTAGGACATGTGTTTAGAGTCTCTTAAGTATTGAATATAGTACTGAGATTCATGTAGCCGATCCTAATTCACCTAGTATTGATGCATAGTTATTGTTGTTCCATATAACAACAGGAATGATGATCTCTGTCTCTCTCTCTAATCAAGCATCTTAATATAGGGGGCTTAATAAGAATCATTTTACAAGGAGAACTTCAAGCTATCATCTTATAAAGTAGTAATTCCTAATTCACTTGTTTGTTTCTTGCAGATGGTTGAGCCAGTTTTAAGGGCCGCGTCGTATCCTTCTTACTTCTTTTTTGCGCACTAATCCTTCATTTTTTATGTTGTTTATGGGACAAGATTTACTTAAATAATAGGAAGAGATTAAGTTGTTCATTTTCTTTCATAGCTCTTTGGGTGTGTTAGGTGATTGGAATAAATGAGGTTATGTTTTGAAATACAGTGAGTGCTTATTTAGCTACATATAACAAAACCTTTTCTGTTCTACAAATTACTAGAGTTCTGCACAGCTGATTTGCCGTAAACATATCGGTTTGATAAATTGGTGTTGTTGGATATTAATAGTACTTCCTTTCTTCCTTGTTTTTTTCCATATATTCATAATTGCACATGTCCTATCTTCGTCTCATTTGGTAAGATGACTTTGTTTTTCATCTGTGCTGATTGCTTTTCATTTCAAAGTAAACACTTGATCAATGTTCCTGTTTTATGTAAATTCCAATGTGGATTTTTAGCCATTAATGATTGTTTCTACCCTTAACAGTAGACAGGGAGATATCCACACTTCTTGCACGATCATTTTTTATGGGATTTTCGCTGACAGTATTGTCCTTGCTTGCCCGAATAAGAGTTCTAGTTCAGCAAGTAAGTATTCTCAGTGTGATTTTATCATTTTCAGAACTGTGAAATGGTATGTGCACTCATGAAGAATGACACCATTTTAAAGCTCATTCCTTCGTCATACTTCTTATAGTAAAGGTCTTGCACATGGATTGCGTTCTTTTGAAATTTGAGTTTGTTGAAGTTTTAGTTTCCAGTATAATACACTGGAGTCATGTTAGTTTCTGGAGCTTATTATATGGAGTAACTAGTCTAACTCAAGAGTCAAGGGTACTGGGTCATGTATGACATGGGACTTTTTGCTCTTCTAGGAGCATTCAATATTTAAGGAGTTGTAAATCTTATGCTGAGCAAATTTTCTAAGGATATCTAGTGATTGAACAGGACATTTAATCAAAATTTCTCTATTTATTGCAGATTCTTCTAGATGTTGTTTGTGTATTCAACAATGTTTCCTCTTTATCACAGAGGGAACAAGCCATCAAATTGACTCAAGATGGTTTTGAGGTTGTTTCTTTGCTACTGACCACTCTCTGTTTTTCTGATGCAATGGAAGAAATTCTTTTCCTTCCTTATATTCGCTTTGTTTACTAGCTTTTTTGATTGGTTTTTAATTAGTTCTGTTAAGGTCAAGAAATGGTTGGTAAAGTTATGTTGAGATAGGAAAATTGATAGTACTTCCTTGATAGTCGTTAATAACAACTCTAAGATGAAATCAAAGAAGCAAATGTTCAATAATTTGGCATTGCAGGTTTTTAGAGAATATTTTCCGCCAAAGCAGCAGGTGGTCTTCCTCGAATGTATTTGGGAATCTGATAAGTATATGTTAGTTGAGAGACAAAATCAGAAAGATGTTGGAAGCCAGGAAAAGGATGTTGGAGAAGATGTTTCTGTAGAAGCATCTAAGGTTCAGTATGAAAGCATTGGGCTTTTCCTAGGAGGTAACCATGAACCCAAGTTCTTTTTACTGTCTTTGTTTCCTTTATCAAGTCATATTCTATCAGTTTGAGATAGAAGTGAACTGAAGGTTGCATGTGATGATTTCATTTAAAGATAGCATTATCCTGTGTTTTTCTGTTTGCCAGTTTTTATCGTTAAAAAAGGGCAGCCTAATGCACGAAACATCTGGTAGTTCACATAGGATTTGGGGAATGGACACATACCTAGGGGATGTAGTATAGGCAGCGTACCTGACACCAGTTTTAGTTATTCAGTTTGACAATAAAGTTCATGGAAGACGTGTCTGTTGCATATCTTTCTAGTGTATTCATATATCTATTGCTTCTTACTCCTTACAATCAAGTTCTTCGTTTGTTGCTGGAATTCAGTGTCATTCGTCTATAATTTTGTAAACTTTTTTCGGGATCTTGTGTAGATGATGAACCTGGACAGACGGCCTCTAAAGATTCAGCTGAGGATGGTCAAACTATGAAGGACAACGATATAGTAGATTCCTTGGAGGATCCTATCCAAGATAGTAATGATGAATCTCAAGCTCAAGTTGATTCAACTATTGCAGAACCTTCTGGAAATAATTTTGATGCTCCTGAAGCCGGAGCACTTCCAAGTTCATCACGAGACAAGAATCCTTCAAAAGCCAAACATGGATCAAGAAATAGCGTTGCATTTGTTTCAGTAAAAAGACCCAAACTGTCAACAAACAATGAGTTGGGGTTTGACATTCATAGAACAGAAAAGGTTGATAATCCTGGTGTAGATAAAGAAGATCCATTTTTCAGTTTACTTTTTAGTGGAAATGTGAAGAGCAGTCTATTCTGAACTTCACCTAAATAGTTTTTCATATCTCCTTGTTTTTCTCTGTTAACTAGGCTGCGGCGCATCTTTGCGTCCATATATGTGAGTTGATGCTCAATCATGTTCAAATTTGGACAATTTATCCCAATTGGTTTTAAATTTTTAAAGTTGATGCTCAATCATGTCCTTTTTTGAGGGTAGGAAGAAATTTGGAGCATCTGTGGGAGTTGAAAATGTATCTCTTAACACACTGTTTGGACTTTATTTTAAAAATAATCTCACTGTCCTGATGGTATCTACTAAGTAAACAAAAATACAGAAGAAAATCCTCCATCAAATAAATGTTAATGATCCCAACATGCTATTTGAATTTCATAAAGTAAAACACTTGTATCAAACTGAGGTGAACTGAGCTAGACCCAAGATGCTGCTGAAGCCTTCTCATTCTTGTCTTTGATTTGTGTGTCTTTGTTTTAGAAACAAATCAAAGTTGCTGTATTGTATGACTCTCCTTCAGCTTTTGATTCTGTTCCAATAGTATCACTGAATATTGTGACATGGTGTGGATTTTCAATTTTACTCTGTTATGTAAGAAACAACTACGGTGATGTCGTCCAGCTTCCCACCATGGTAATCAAATCCAGCCTCGCGAGCTCCATCAGAGAAAGGCGAAGACTTGATATGATCCATTGCTCTTAGTTGTGCCAGTTCTGCTATCCGCTGAGCAGTCATCTGAGGCGCTAAGCCATCTTCCATGGCCTGAAATACAACTCCACTGATATCTTCGTCATACAAATTATCAAAAAGCCCATCTGTACCAACAATTAGGACATCTCCAGGTAAAGCAGTAATTTTGAATACCATGGCAGAGCTAGGTGAATCACCTGCGTTGTTGCAATCTAGTTGATATGGGAAATTAAACCCATGCTGCTGTGAAGGGGATTTAAATGCAGCACATCCATTTCTAACCAACATAAATCCGCTATCTCCTAAATTAACTGCATAAAGACCCCCTTCAGTGAGTGCAACGATACACGCTGTACAAGAGCCTTTTGCTTTTGTTCTCACGTAAGCTTTCTCCAGCACTCTGATTAGGTCTACAGAACCTTTTGGTTCATCTTGAATTGCAGATAAAGAGTGAGACATCAATTCACGGGCATATAGTCCAGCATCAATACCAAGATCAGCCCATCCACCAACACCATCAGCTACACCGATTGCTGGCGTAAGGGTACAAATAAAATGAGCATCCTCTCCACCAGTTTTTGCTTTAGCAGGATGAGGTAGGTAAAAAGATCCCGAGTTTAGCTGCAAGGGGATCTGTGCTTCAGAAGAATTAACAACGTCAACAACTTGTTCCGTGCCCTTAGAATTATCAGAAGACACATTAGAAGCAGAGGCAGTTCCAGAATAGAAACATTCGTGGGATAAATTGCGAAAACCTTCCAATCCAAAGCCTTTGTGTGGATTGAGGTTAGTCCTCCTCTTTGCAACATTAGTCGTCAAATATTGGTAAAGCATGAAGTTGTTGGGCCGTCCTTTGTTTCCCAAATTGATGTTAGCTTTACTAACATTTTGTAAGCCTCTTTTGTTGTAAGAAACAGTACAACCCTTTACTGACAAACTACACTGCAGGCGCCTAGCAGTCATATTGCCAACGAAATGCCCAATATGAGTCCTTGAACCACAAACAGCCATGATGTCTTTCTGAGTATCAATAAAAAAAGTAGCTCGGGAAGCAGCAAACTTCAAGTGGAGAGTTCTGCAAAACCATGGAAGGAAACAACATGAGGTTACATAAGTAGCTTGCGTTTTCTTCTTTTTAATGGACATAGTAGATAAAACAAACTGACAAAGCAAGACACACATAACACAAGCTCCTATATCTCCCCTTCAATTGATCTTATAAACAAATATTTATACTGAGGAGATTGCGTTATCATATGCAGGCTAGAAAGTGCAAGTTGTAAAGCCAGGCAAATAAAACCTATGAAGTTGAAACGAAAACGTCATACGAAACACGAATATCAAGAAAATTGACTCAGTCAAATTAAGAACTAAAAACACATTCATGAATACAAAATACCCGGGAGCTTATTAGCAGCCAAAAGTTGCAATTGAACTTTCCAAAGTGGAACTATTCCAACAATAAGCTCAAGGGTAACAAGAAAACTGTCATCAGCCAACGAAAGAGTGTGACACAGTGAGGCAGAGACAGTAATCAATCCTTAATGGGCCTGAAGGAGAACTTAGAATTTCAATTGTTTTTTCTTCTCAATCTCTATGTGGAATTTTTAAACAAAAATCAAAAGAAAAATGTACAACCTATATCTATCACAAGTTAAACAATCAAAAGAATTGAGCTTTTGTTATCTGGGGTAAGCCAAAATGATGTAGTAACTCAACTACGCATGCCTGTAGTGAAGTTGACCCACCCACACACGCCAATAACTTAATACTATCAACTATGCCTGAAGCCCAGATTAATTGACCACATAACAAAAGTGGGGTTTGAGAATATCGCCCTTATTTCTTTTTTGATAAACGTGGTACCTAGGTCAGCTTGCACATAACTCAACTATCTCCAGGACTACCTCTCACCTCCCACCAGTAAAAGTATCATCTGACTCTGTCCATAAATTGATTGATTCCGCTTTGGAGTTTAAAGAACTTTTCATACTTGTTGTACTTGTTCTTTTCAAAATTACAATTTCAAACAGTTAAGAGTGGTTAGAGTCTCACACTGGTTGGGAAACAAATGGGTAATGAACCAGGGGTCTGTTTATATGGATTTGGGTGATCCTCCTTTCATTAGCTAGCTTTAGAGGTTGAGTTAGTCCTAATGTCATATCCATCTTTGTTTAGGCTCTTGGTCCACGCACCAGTTGGTCTGCTTAACACTTCACTTCCACAGATGTGTATTTTTAACTCCGCTATGATTTGAACATCAGACCTCATGATTCCCGACCCATTCCTCGACCACTAGAGCACACCCTCCAATTAAAAGTCCCCCTTATTCTTCTCAAATCAGCACAGTATATAATTAACAGATAAGACCAGACTAGACAAAACAAAATGCTGGAAGGAATTCAAGAAAAGACCATGTAAGTAATTACAACAACAATATAAGAGTTACAATGAGGGAATTGGGATTTTCCACTATCTTTATCAACAATGTCTTCCTCATTCAATAACAATATACACAAAGCAAATTCATAACAAATAAACAAACAGAGAAAAAGGGAATCATTAAACTTCACCTGATAACTGCTTAGCTATTCGTTTTACGAAATTCTTTCACCGGCGGCAAAGCCTTTGCTGCCTGATAAATCTCTCTTTATCCTTTTCTACTCAAACCCCACTTCAAATATACCTCAATTTTCACTATTTGGATGCAAAAGCTGCAATCTTTTTCACTCTAGGGTGCAAATTGGAAGCTTTTATATAAGGGTTCACTGTAGATTTTCTCTTCTTTTTGATTTTAAAAAAAAATATATATAACTTATTCTCTTTTTCTTTGGTTTGGATAAAAGCCTTATTTTTAGTTTAACTAATATTAATAGATTTTTTTTTTTTTTGGTTGTATCAAGAACAAGAGTTAGATATTTTTAAAAAAAGGAAATTACAGTCGTTATTCTTTGATAACCTCCACTTCTAGATGAACTCGATCCAAAAATCAAATCTCATGCTTTCGCAAGCCAGAGTTAAATTTTTAGTTGTTTCCAAAATGAATTATCAAGGTCTTATTTTATAAAAATATTTTAATATAAGCATATTAAATGATGGTAGGCTTCTATTTGAAATTATGATAAGCTCCAAGAAAATTGTATATATAGTAAGATATAAAATAAACCAAGCAATTAGATATCAACAAATCAAAGTGGCGCAGCGGAAGCGTGGTGGGCCCATAACCCACAGGTCCCAGGATCGAAACCTGGCTTTGATATGCAATTCACTGAGCTTCCAAAACCACATTTTTTTTCGATCTGAAAATAATTTGTCATTCTTTTTGAGACGTGTATGAAAAACTGACAGTAGAGTGAAACAGTTTTTTTTTCATCATCGGGCGGGAGAGCCGAGAATAATAATGTGTTATTCTTTTTGAGACCGTGTTGTTAGGTGGCATAGTATGAAAAACTGTGACAGTAGAGTAAAACAGTTGTCAGTGTTGAAATGAAGTTAACTGAATGCAAATGCAGTTAAAAGTTGAGCAACTTTATTAACAACACATGAATAAGGTGATTGCCAGGCTGCTCAATTTTTCATTACATTACTTTCCAGTTGATCACATTGAGAAGATATGTCAAAGAAATCGCGCAAAAAAATACATGAACCTAACCAAAATGACCGACTCTCATGTCAGGCAGGATGATATCTCTTCAAACATTACACAGGCCATAACAGCTTACGCTTTATAGTTGCTGAGAAGATGACTGCTAAAGTTTCTACAGCTGAAATAGGCAGCTGAGGCACAATTGAACGCCTTGTCTTGCAAGGAATCGATAACTTCAGTAACCTGGAAAATAGGCCATCAAGATAATCTGTGTAGCAACCTTTGGCAACTTGCAGATGTGTCTTCAGCTAGCAGTTAGACGAGACAAAAGGTTTGGATTGTTTCGTTGGTAATAAAACAAATAAAAGAATGGGAGCAGTAGGCTCATAACCAGCATCTGTTCTGTGGTAGAAGTTGCAGAATGTGATCGCCCAAAAGCAATTTCTTGATCGACTTACAAGGTTCACATGCCTAAACAGGGCTCTCAGAAAGTTTTGAGAAGCTTATCTTCTTCAGACTATTCTTCATAAGGTTTGCACGTGTTTTTCCCGAACTACCACATTTTATGTCCACGATTTCAACTAACGCCAGTCCCTTTCTATCAGGTTTCTTCCTAATAGGAGTTCCATCTACTGAAATGTTTTCTGATTCTAGTATTGGAAGTTGAGGAGTTCTACAATTGTAGTACTGCTTCGCCTTCCTAATTATCTCGGAGTCATTTTTATGATCTTCAGATGCCCAGCTGCTGCTAGCTTTATCGATTGATGTTCTTGGCTTTGTTCTTTTAGGACTGGTTGCATCACCAGCAGCAAATGAACAAACAGTAGGAGACCTATACCTACGTGGTACAGATGTCGTAGAAGCAGATGGTTTTGAATCTAATTCTCTTGACATGAGGGCACTGATCGTACCAGTTGTTCCAACTTTAATCGAACCTCCACCACCCCTTATGGTCTCTAATGTCTGAACCATAATTCTCTCCAGATATTCCGAGGTTGCTCTACCAGATATTTAGATAAACCCTGTGAAATAACAACCAATACGTGCATAAGTCCGACTGTGAATCTAACTCTTCATACAATCATAGTTGACATGAACCTATATATATGGACTAAAAATCTGGTCAATTAAGAAACAGCACAGCAAAAGAGCTCAGAGAACAGTCACATAAACGCCACTTTCCTAAATTTATCAGGAACGAACACAGAAATATCTATAATCGTGACGAGGAACCTAGAAGTAAAGTCATTCGAAGAGAAATCACAATAATTTTAGAAAGCTGCATAATAAGGACCTGAAAACCATAAATAAGAGAAAATAAAGCTCACTGGTTGACATATTCCAGTAAATATTCTATTAGATTATAAAAGATCAAAAGCCAAAGGGAGTCATACTGGATTTTTTGTTAAGGGGCATCTACACCAGTTATACTGATTCTTATGATTGAAACAGACTAGACATGTCTAAAAGATGGAACATGAAACATTTTTTCAGTTTTCCACCCGGTGTCAGGTACTCATGTTCGGTCCGACTAATCTGGATTCTCGCTGCATAAGGCCCCTTTAAAGAGGAAACATCCCCTAGCAAGACTTTTTCCATACCTAGGACTTGAACCCGAAACTTTTGCTTAAGGGTGGAGGGATCCTTCCCATTCCACCACAACCCTTGGATGGAAAATCAAACATGTTAATCAAACCCAACATCACAAAGGGAAAACAAAGAACTATCATGCTTAACAGAAAGAGTTCTTTCTCCTGACCAACCATCCCTTGACAAATTCTTGAAAATGCAAAATGAACCTTGAAATTAGGAATTCTTTTATCCTCCTAAAACAGAAAAAAGTCCTCCAAGTTTTCAATCTAAGCATCAACTTGACAAGTTTCATAGACTCAGGAATCACAAAAAGAAGTTGAAAATTTGAAAACACCACAAAGATTGAAACTTTGGCAAGTCAACATAGCAAAGACCTCTAGTTAAAGACGGAGGAATTCTAGGATAAATTACCTAATCAAACCCAACATCACAAAGGGAAAACTAAAAAGCCTAACTGTCTTGACACTCACTAAACAAATTCTTGAAAATGCAAAAACAAGTTGAATCCTCCTAAACATAAAAAGTCCTCCAAGTTTTCAATCAATGCAACAACTTGACAAGGGCAATAAGATCCATATATCCCATATAACTAATACTCAAGAATCACAAGAAGCAGGTCAAAATATGTGAAAACACCATAAAGATTGAAACTTTGACAAGTCAATGAAGCAGATATTATCTTGGACTGAAATCCAATGAAACAACAAAGAAAAGAAAAGCTGCCATTGGAGCCCTGAAAAAAGGTTTACCTGATAAAGATGAGCAAGTCCCCTCTGTCAATGGAGGGGTTTGACAGCAAATATTCAATGCCCCCTTTGTGTCACTCTGCAGAAAAGCATATTGTGTTATGATTCATCAATAATTTGTAAATTGTTGGGCCCTACCCACACCTTTTGTTGCCTCAAATGTGGGGAAGAACTACTTTTTTGATTGTTAAAATTTGTAAATTTTAGACTTTTATCAATTCTTCATGTAAAGATTTGAACTTTATGAATTCTTCTCAAAGTAAATTGTTCTTATAATTTAACGTAATAAAGATTTAAACTTCATAAATTCATTTATGAAATTTTACTTTAATGAATCGTTTCTTAAAGTTATGTCTACGATCTTCGTGTAAAGTGAAATATATAGATAGACACAATATTGTGCATAATTTAAAAATTCTCCACCAAAAGCATAATATACTAATAAACTAATGTCCACTTACAAAAGTAATTAACTTTGAAATATCATTAGTGTTTGGTCCTCCACTAATTCCTTGTATTTGCTAAATAATTTCTTTGTTATATAGTTTGCGTGGTATAGTTCCACATTATTATATAAATTACTTGTTAATTAATCAAAGAATCCCTAAATAGCAACTACATTTTTAAGGTTCCAACATACACTTAGCTAGATTTACAAAATAGACTCAAATCTTACCTTATCTCAAAGATAGAGAGACTATTTGCGATAGACAACAGTCCAAAAAAAGAATATATGTAAGTGAGCGGTAACTACAATAAAATAATACGAAGTAGTAAATACATACCTACACAGATAGGATGGGGAATACATCATCAGAATGGTAAGGAGCAAATTTACAAAGATTTTGTTACGAAAACCAAGTCTACATACAACTTAACCAGAAATACACAAAAAAAAAAAAAGAGGTTACATTTACACAAATTAAGGTCTCTACAGGCTTAGGCTATTCTATACCTGTTGAAAAATGAGTACAGCAGCAGGTTACATGACACAAAAAGGGGGAGGGGAGGAAGGCAGTTATAGTTTGATGGTCGCGAGAATCATCTGTTTGCGGTGACACACTGGACTGGGTTAGATTAAACTCTATACACTTCAAAGCACAAAATAAATGCAGCGAAAGGAGCCGAGTTGATAGAAGTTTGCGTATCTTTGTTGATGAAATCCACCATCTACTTGGCAGAATACCAGTTTTTAGCACATTTAGCATCGACAGATAAGCCAACTCTGAGAATATTTTTCCCATTAAAAGGATTGGACATGCAGTGAACCACTATTGCCATGGCTTCTTCCTCAGATTCTTCTGGTCCTTCCAAAATAACTTCATCATGAACCTGTTCCAAGACGAACAATCAAGTACAGTGTCAAATGACGCACACAATCAACTGGTACTGCAAGGCGCATACAACAAATAATTCTAAGCTATGCAAACATAAAATTCTAAATGTGTCATGTCCTTTTATATTGCATGAAAAACAATCTTTAATCTTTTTGTCTGCAGTTAAGCACAGCAAAATGGTAAAAGTCCAACACCTATCACCGGAATTAACAGTAATTGAGGTGTCTCTCCAAACTCAACATGAGGTTAAACTTAAGGGTTGAGCTCGAAAATCGTAGGTGAAGCCTACAGAGAGAGATATCCAGAGATGTACCAACACATATATGATAGAAGAGTACAGTTTTTCTGTTATTATTTGTTTTTTCTTTTCCTAAATGAGCTGAATCCAGTAAAGGGCAACGTAAGGTAAACCTGTAAAAGCAATTTCCATCCAAGCTCCTTTAGTCGTGCATTCTTTGATATCTCTAACATCGCGCACATAGCGACATCTGCAGCACTTCCCTGTCAAAAACTTCAGAAGTCAGCTTGGCGTACATGGGGACAAACCGGCGCA